ACATTTTGAACATCTTTTATAAAATGTAAATTTATGTTTTAGGATAAATTTCAAATAAATTTTATTATCGTAATTTTCTTCCTTTTGAATTTATTTTATAACGGCGACAGATAGGTATAGGAAAGTACATAGGGAAGTGGAAGGGTATGAAATTCTCCTTCAGTTGATGAATAGAAATACAGGGTAATACATTTGAAAAATTTTAAAAAATTTCCCTCGAAATTTTTGGAAAGTGAAATTAATTTGTGACCACCCTGTACAAAATAAAAAATTCAAACTTGGTCCAAAAAAATCTTTTGTCTATTGGCTTTATACAACCGTAGATTTTAAATTCTAACATCAAATTCGAGAGAGCACTGCATATTTTAATAGGCGTCTGAAAATGTAATATTTTTTGGTAATTTTTTTTTCTGCGAAAGGGGTGTGATGTTAGAAACAATATTTTGTGGGTATGTACTAGTGACCATAGAGTACCTAAAATTGTAAAAAAAGTTGGGTCACTCCATTTAAAAAAAATTAAGTGATTTGCCTAATTTACTATTGGACCACCCTGTACACAAGAAAATAATTTTGGGATATTTGGTATTGGCCACCATTGACAGGTATCCATCAAATAAATCGTTAAGATTTGCATAGTAGGAGTTATAGAACTACGACAAAGGTTTGGCCAACCCTGTATATCATTGGATTTTTCTCTTCTAGTACACGAGTGCCAGTTATACATTTTAGGGGATACTTTTTGAGATAAACAACCGTATGAGATCGTCCTCCTTTCCTCTGAACCCCATATAAATTTCTAAATTATTTTTTAAATACCTTAAATTGTGTTCATGTTGTCATCGACGAAAGTATTTTAGTAATTTGCTGAACTATATAAAAAGATAAGCAGTCACTTAAGAATGGAGTGTACATTTAAAAGGTAGCCGTAATAAATTAGTTCCTAGATTTTTTATATTCATAATAATTTGCTCTTAACACTTCTACATCTCAATGCACAATCTGTCATTCCGCAACTCGCCATACCAACCATATACAGTGTCATCTATTTTAGATTACTAATTTTAGTTAAATTATAAATTTCTCAAACCCATCAAAAAAGTTTGACCTGAAAGGGGATCCACTCACGTCTCGTCAGTTAACGTTTGCCATCTTAAGCTAATACACCTAGGAGGCACTTAGTAATTTGTTACTAAATATTATTCTAATAATAGCTGTTAGGAACAACGCCATCTTGATGTTGATAAAAAAAAACGAGTATATTAGCAGTCTAAATAGAGGAATATGTGTAAGACTTTTTACTAAAATATGTGAGAATCAGGTCCACATTTTTCGCCAACCAAATCATCGCATAATCCAATTGATACATATGTCATAGAATCCAGAGTATTATATCAAATCAAACATCTATTTAAAAATCTTTAAACCAGGCCTGAACAACTAAGATTTTCAAAGAGCCAGTTTAAAAACCGTATTTATAAATCAGGTCGAGGTAGTCTCTTCAGATTCCAAAAAAAAAAAAACCAAAAGGTCCTCACCTTATAATTTCATAAACCAAGTCCTTCTGCCGAGCTTCTAAAAAAAAAGGTCGCCAACTTATAATGAACCAGGTCCTACTACCGAGCTCCTAAAAAAGGCAATTAATACCTAAATTCAATTTTGTTACTAAAAAATGTATGGTTTGACGTAGGCGGGCCAAACTGGTCAACGGACAAAGGGTCAAGAAAACGACAATAGCGAGCCGCATGCGGCCCGCGGGCCGTATGTTGTGCAGGCCTGCTTTAAACAAATAATCTCCAAAACCATTTTGAAAACTAGTTCATTAGAATATGAACCCGTCCGTATACGTATACTCCTTTAACCGTATACGTTAAAATTGAAATTTATTCCAAAAACATGTTCGGGATTTTCGCCGATTACAATCCCATATATTTATGGTTCATGCATCTTGCAAAAGTTTATTTATCGATTGCTCGTAAATAAGGTTAGAGGAAAAATATTTTGCTGGGAAATTCTCGCTCGCCGAAACTCGTCACGTTCCGCGGAAAATTTGTGCTGGCGTGTCGGAGACAAATTTTAAAAGTCCTTAAGCGAATTTGACGGTCAAGGTCCATGTTCGGTTGAAAAATCGCTAGATTTAAGATATGTCTCCGGAATATTTCGGTGGTCATTACAGAGAGTGGCTGCTCTGTTTTCTCGGCGTACTCGGCTGAATATTAATAATTTGTCAATATAGAAATCGTTTCTGTTCAGTCGAATGTCTGTTTGTTTTTTGCTTGTTCGGAAAATTTTTGACAAAATGTTGTTTGCGTGATGAGGTTTTAAATTTAAATTCGTCAATACTGTTAATTTTATTTTCGGTGTAGCTGCCAAAATAAATATATGGTGTTTTATGAAAATTTAAATAATGTTCAGAATACAACATTTATAGAATAAGAACATTCTTTCAGCAGTAATAAACGTAAAACGGGATAGTTATTAAGTTAAGACTTTAAAAAAATTTAATAACTGTTTCATAAATTTGCAATTTTAAGGTTTTGTTGTACATCAACATCAATAACAGTTTTGAAATGTACCTCGTGAATACAAATTAATTCTAGGAAAAATTGCATTAATAGTAAAATAGCTGTAGCCACCTAGGAGTTATTTATATCGCGGTTCTTGGGGCCTATTTTCAAACTATCTATGGGAGTAAATAATTCTCTCTAGATTTTCATGAGAAATGTCATACGTCAACGTGGAAACCACTTTTTTTAAAGCTACTGAGAACTCACTCATTGTTTCTCTCAGTTAATTTCGAGAGAATTAAAATTCTCCTAGGATATTAATTCTAACTGGCTCTAAAAATTCTGTTTCTAAGTTGAAATATGAAATTTTTCATGAAAATCTTGAGAGAAATATAATGTATAGACGACAATAAAGTCATTTTCGGATCCAAACCGAAAATTACTGTCATTTATACAGCACATAAAATTAAAGTCCCAATTTAGGCGGGACAGTGTCGATTTCAAACCACTAGTCCCGATGTAACATGTCCCGCATTTGTCCGAATAAAAACAATTTTGTTTGTGCCGTTTTTGTCTGATTTTTTTTTGTTAGAGTATTGTTACTAGTCATTACTGACTAAGCTACAATTTTAATCTAAAAATCTTACAAAATAATTTCTTTTCTAAGAAGTCCCCATTGGACTGTCTTAATTGTTTCTATAGGAAAGCATCACAAGTTGACGTAACGATTTATTACACTGTTTTACACTAGCACTAACATTAACGTTCACTGCACTAGCTCAAATGGCTTCTTCCTTTTGAGCCTTCTGTTGAGTGTAGAGTTGTCCAGTAATTGCAACGCTTCTTCGTTAATGTGGGAGTGGAGTCGACCCTCATGTTTTGCAGCAAACCTCTTTATTTCTTCTTCGATGGCATCTTCAGGTCTCTATGAAGATAATCGTTTCGGTAAAACCAAGGTGCATCAACAATGCATCTTAGGACTTTATTTTGGAAAACTTGTATCATGTTGATATAACTCTTGCTGGCACATTCCCACAGCTATATGCCATAAATCCAGATTGGTTTTAGGATTTGTTTATAAATCAGCAGTTTGTTATGCACTGACAATTTGGATTTTCTTCCTAGGAGCCAATACATTTTTTTGAATTTAAGTTCAAGTTTTTTACGCTTCTTTTATATGCTCTTTCCATTTAAGTCTTACATCTAGGTTCATCCCTAGGTATTTGGCCGAATCGTCATTGTTTATTCTTATTTGTTTTTGTTCATTTGGTCAAAGAGTAAAATCAACATGCACTGATTTAGTTTGATTTATTTTTATTTTCCACTTTTTTGTCCATCGATTGATTCTGTTGCAGGTTTCCTGAAGTTTTTCTGAGGTCTCTGTATTAGTTCCGCCAACTGCCAATATTGCATCCGCACATGTTCATGTAAACCCAATTACATATTTTTCTTTGTACCTAGTAGAATTAAAATCAGTGTTAAAAATTGACCACATGTAAGTTCGGTAAATTCATCTTTTTCCTACACATGCAGTGTTGCTATGTGTATGGCAAGACATTTCTATTCGTGTTTTTCAATCTTTATAATTATATTGTGAGAGTAATAACAGTGTTGCTTTGGTCCTTATTTTTCAGTCTAAATTAGCATAAAATAATTAAAACACAATGCACGACAAAATACTTTCTTGAAAACTAAATATCATTAATAAACAATATAAACACACTGCAAGTTGTTGAGAATAAATAATTGATAATGATGTTCTAATCGTGTTTCTAATCGTCAATAAAATGATGCAACTAACAATACAAGAAAGTAATATTGGTTGACTAAATGTTAGTAATGTTTAACCAAAACAATTTTAGTCAAAATTAGAAAAAATGTTGTATATAACACGTTACGAAATGCCGTTTTATGTAATTCGTTCATGTTGCGGGACATGGTTCTGCTCTTCCTGCAAATATTCACTCGTTACATAAAATAAGGCATTTCGCATAAATAGCTATTACATCATAACTATTTAGTAGATAGGATCGAAAAAGTTGCCATTCATAAAAGTAAGTTTTTTTGCCAAAAAAAATTTTTTAAATCAACCCTTTCAAGTGCTCCAACCCCTTCAAAAATGTTTCTTTTTTTTAAATCCTATACGGCCCTATATGTAAACTCTTTTTGAGTGTTTAAGAAGTGTGTGTTCAAAAATTGGAGGCTCTCGGAACATTTTTGGAGGTGCCCCAGTGAAGTAAAAAAATATGTATTCTGACTTTCAAATATATTTTGGTTACTTTTCACGTTATTTCGTTTTATTCAAGTTAATTAAATTTCTATAGCTAAAAATGTTATAATAACTATTGTTTATTTTGTTTCAGATACCAAACAAAGTAAAATGGGCGCAAAAACTCCTACCAGGAAAACCACCCGTTGTCCTATCTTTGAAACCCTTGCCCAGTTAAGAATTCCCATGAAGGCGGATGTAATTCGACACTACTTTTTTTGTCAGGAATGAGAAAAAAGGCATCATGGCAGGTAAATATCTACCAGCTTCAATAATAGCAACAGAAACTGCAAACACCCTAGTGGACATCTGGAAGAAGTAATCAGTTCCAACAATTACATTTAAAAAATTTACTTAGAAAATAAAAAAATTGAATACTGACTATAGGACTCTACTCAAACCATATAAGAACAGACAGCAATCTGAAAGCTACACAAAGAAGATCAAAGATTTAAAACTTAGTTGGGGGGGAACTCTCTTTGATATAGATAATTGTAAATGTAAAGACCTCAACGATTGCCATTGTTCCAAAGAGAAGAAAATTCCAACACAAGAAAGGGAATTTGTAATAGATCAGCGAACTACCAGAAACCTAGTCATAGGATCAATTATTGATGTAGCATCCTCCAGAAAAATAGCAAAAAGAAAACAAAGAAAGATGGAACGATCCCAAGAACCTGAAGAACAATTTGAAAAACGCCCAAAATCAGTCTAAAGATACTGCATCTGGGCCAGGAGACTCTGAAAATGAGACTAGGAATGATCCTGGAAAGTTGCCTGACTTTGATCCCCAGTCCTCTTGTTCTTCCACAATTGAAGACGTTTCAAAATTGCAAATGGGGGTAAATCTCTCAGCTTTTGCTAGGGAGTGCGATCGTTACGATGTTTCAGACAGAAGTGCTGCATCACTTTCTTCCGCTCTGTTACAAGATTTGGGGATTATTAATGAACAGGATACTTCTAAAATAATACATCGAAATAAAGTTCGTCGGGAAAGCCAGATTCCATTTACCTCGGCCATTTAGCCGTATCGTCTGGATCAGCTGTCATCATCAACGATGCCATATTGGATTTCTTTAATAGAAAAGAAATATCGTTTGAATCGTTATATGTCGCATCGGAGCATCCCACCGAAAATCTGGTACACTTATACATTAGTATATGGTCCATTATGGTTCAATATCAAATGTAAGCCATTGTGTATTGACGGTCCACGATATTTGTGGAGATTGATTGCATATCCAGGATATATGCCGACTGATTTAAGGGAGATAATAGATGTCGTAATACAGAGGAATGGCTTCTTTAGCCGCTCAGAGGACCTGCTTCTAGCGATTCTGGCAGATAACAGAGAGAACATCCGCAAGTTAGCATACCGCAGAATAATTGCTTCTAGAAAAAAAAAACAAAAATTCAACATTTGTCAAACAGTTTTGCGTACATGCTTTAAACCTACAGTCAGAGGATTACACATTACAGGTAACGCAAATAGTTTCGACTGCCTGATGAACAGCCCTGGCTCCGGTTTCGCTCTAAGTGAGGGGGGGAGGTGCGTGATCCGTTTAGTACCAAGATTCACAGTATTCAAATGCCAATTTAAATGCCAGATAAAAATGCTTCCTTGTCCCTAACCTAAATCGATCAAACAACAGGAACGAAATGAGTCAACGAAAACTCCTGCTTATACCATTTAATTGGCTATTAAACCTTTCCCTGTAGTGTACATTAACAAATAGATTAAACAATGAGTAAAAGAACTCATAAGTTTCGATTAACAAAATCAATTAGCGAGTCACAAGTGTCACTACAGTGAAACCTGAGGAATTTCCACTAACAGCTGTAAGCTGGAAACGCAAGATTTACCCCGGGTACTCTAGAACAGATCTATTGTTTTAAGTGACATCACGACCACTACCAGAAAAATCAAAATCTTTGTACAAAAATAAACAAAATAGCTAAAAAAATCTGCATGCCATCACGAAAGGCCCCGAAGAAAACCTATCGACAGCCGTAAGCTGGAAACCAGAGAACCACCATAGGCACTCTAGAATTAACAGAAGTCTAGTCTCAAATGACACAAAATATTCTCAATTACAAGGTATGTATCACATTAATATTTTAATTTAATAAGACAGAAAGATACCACCAAAATATACAGATTGTGTCCAAAAACAAAGTCAATTGCTAAAACTGAAGCCAAAAATGTCAGATCGTAACAAATTTTTCTAGTATTGTTGTAAAGTATCCTCTCTTTTTTGCTTCTCGCTTAAATCAATCCTAAATTCTAGACATACTAATATCTAAAAATCGAAAAGGTTATATTTCACTTTTATTAAGAACCGAGAAAATATTAATAAAAAGGATTTAATTTTCTGCACAAACGCCATTTGGAAATAATTAATACTAATTTTAATTAACACCTTTTTGAATCCCGTTTAATTTAAAATGATCATCAAAGCAAGCCCAGCCAGTCTACTATTAGCAGTGGCGGCCATCAACTTTCTTGTGGGGGAAACTACATTTTTCATCAATACAATTTATAGCATTCTCTCTTTGAAGTTAATTCAACATATTTGTAATAAACGAGAACATTTTTGAAAACTGAACTATTTAAAAATACACTACAATAAACATTATTTAAAGAACAAAGAATATGTATCAAAGAGTAGAAAAAAACAGTAATCAATCCGCTATGATTTAACAGAAGTACTAAATAAAATTTTTAAATTAAAAATTTTTCACACACAATTTTAAAAAAGTTGTTTATTTTAATAACTTCTGTACACAGTAAAGAAAGGAGTATCTCTCTATATTTACCTACGTTGTAACGTATTTATGAAAACTTAATACTTGCCAACAACCTAGGAAAGTGTCTGTAAGCATTATCATGTTTCCCTGGACGATGCTGATTAGTAGTTAATTAAAAAATTGGATTTGGATTTGAATCCTATCTACAAATTGACAAAAATGTACGTAAAACACGAATAGGTAGTTGAGTTCGAATCCCGGCCCGGGACGGTATTTACTAAAATTTTCATTTAATTTGTTTACGCTTTAGGAGGGGGGGGGGGGGTTCAAAATAGTTTTCAGTATTTCGCAGGAGTAATTTTAAAATATTGATTTGGAGACTTCCATAGGAATTTTTAAAAAAATATAAAGATGTATCACTTTTAAAATCACCCTGTATACAGTATCACACATAAAGTGTGTGTAAAAGAAAAGTTGCTTATTTTTTAATTTTTCAGCCATATACCAATTTTCAAGTTAAGTAGTATTTTTTTTAAATGGTGCTTCATAAAAAAACAAGCAACTTTTTCTTCAGGTTTTTCTCGAAATTTTGAAAAATATCGAATGCCAATTTTTGCAATTTTTAGTAAAACATGTCAATTTTGATATTAACGAAACGTTACGTGATTGACCTTTTGCATGTCATTCGTTGTCATTTTTGAAGTCACAAAAGACGGCACCACAACTCTAGAATGAAAGGTACGATCGAATTACGATTTATTGTGAGGCATAGCTTACCAGAATTATTGATCGTACAATTTTTGACAATCACAATAATTAAGATCGTAGAATACGAAGGCCACTGCTAAAGTTCGCGGAATCAAGTACTCCTTGTGTTGCCAGCGTTCTGTAATGGTCATATTCGTAAAATTTGACGTTTTTCACCTATCATTCAGTTGACAGTTCGATTTCAAACTGCTCGGTTTCGTTTTAACAACATTTAACGAGAGTAATATTTATGTGAAAAATGAAAATTTCTAATCGTGACTTCCGAGTAATGATTTTTTATGATTTTCGCTACGGTTTAACACCGCAGCAATGTGTGGAAAAACTTAGTTCATTATTTGGGGATGAAGCACCATCCAAAACTATGGCTTACAAATGGTTCGCAGAATTCAAGCGTGGAAGACCAACGTTTGATGACGATCTTCGCGAAGGTCGTCCATGTACCTCTGTTGTCGCGAAAAATATTGATGAAATGCGTGAAATGCGTGAAATGATTTTGTCAGATCGGCATGTGACCTATCGTGAGATAGAGGCATCCTTAGGCATTGCAGCGAAATAAATACATACGATTTTGCATGATCATTTGCATGTCAGGAAGCTTTGCAGTCGTTGAATCCCACACAATTTGAAAGAAGAACAAAAACAGGCACGTGTCAAGTGGTGCAAGGAAATGCTAAGCAAATTCGAAGGGGGTCGTTCAAATTCGGTATATTACATCGTAACAGGTGACGAATCTTGGATATATTCATATAAGCCTGAAACTAAACAGCAATCGACTGTATTGGTGTTCCAAAATGAACCTAAACCTACAAAAGTGGTGCGTCCACGAAGCGTTTCAAAAAGCGTTTTCGGAAAAACGGATCATGTTGCAACTGTTGCATTAGAGGATCGAAGGACAGTTAATTCTGACTGGTATACTTCAATTTGTTTGCCGGAAGTTATCGCTGAAATCAGAAGGAACAACATAAACCGGCGAATCATTCTTCATTATGACAATGCAAGCGCTCACACAGCACGATGAACTGTAGAGTTTTTAACCAATAACAACATCCAATTAATGGCTCATTGCCCATATTCGCCTGATTTATCGCCCTATGACTTCTTCCTATTTCGACATATCAAAAACAAAATGCGTGGCGAGCGTTTTTCATCGCCTGAAGAGGCTGTTGAAGCTTTTAAATCACTTGTTTTAAAGGTAACTCGCTCAGAATGGCAAAATTGTTTTGAAAATTGGTTTCATCGGATGCAAAAGTGTATAGATTTTAAAGAATAATATTTTGAGAAGCAATAAAGCGATTTACATAACGTAATTTGTGTTTTGCTTTACATTTTCCGCGAACTTTGGCAGTGTCCCTCGTACATGTGAAATACATGTGAATAGATGTGCATACATGTGAATACATGTAAATAAATGTGAAAATAAATTTACTACGCATGTGAGATTTTCGCCTCGAGCGACCATATTTCTGACATATTAGAAATGCAACAATTTTGTAAAACTTTGTCACCATTTCTGTAAGTCTAATAATAAGTAGCTTATTGTATATTAAATACAGCAAATGAATGAACGGTTTTGTAGAAATTGTTGAGGAGTTAGTAAAAAAACAATTGCCTTAACCTGTCTTTTATGCACTAGATAATATATCTTTAATTTGGTCACATATATCAGATATCCATCACTCTTCTGCTAAAATTAATAAGCTTATTTCAGTGGCAACCGAGATCGCCACAAAACATTTTTTTTTTATTTAAGAAGTAGAGGGATTAGTTTCAATCAATTTTTACAATTCTATTCCAAATTGATGAATCAAAAAAATACTCACTATTAAATAAAAGAAAATACCTAAAATTATTCAAAATTCTATATTTTTTCATTATATACATTCATACTTCATCTCTGTAATTACTTTGAATAATGTTGGAATAAACTAAACGATTCTAGACTGGTGATTGGTGACCCCAGCGGGTGTGGGCCTTGCGTGCCCTCATAGAATTTTTTCTGATCTTCTGCAACCCCAGCGTTCCACCACTGGAACGAAATCTAGAAAACGCCACGACGCTACGCCAAGCATCGTTCGCTTGTTGCTCTATTTATTCCGAAAGTTGTCGCGAAATGCGAAAATTTAATTACACTACCGTCAACTTTGAAGTGCGCCAGGGCGAAATATTTGTAAATGAAGTCAAATAACGTTAAAGTAACGA